TAAATGCTTTAGTTTGTTTAGTTAGGGAACAAAGACCTGCTTCTGTTCCTATGCTTGTTAGGGTTTCAGTAAATGCCTTAACCATTGAGTCTACATTATCTGCGTTTTCTATTGATTCGCGTAGCGTTGCTTGCATTTCTGTAGTGCTTAAAATGTTTTGTAATTTATCGATATTGACATATACACGTTCATGTGTTTCAGTGAAGCCCCAGAGGATTGGGGGGGGGGGTAATCACATGTTCCCATGTAAAAAGGGCAGGGATGATCATTGAAAAAAATATTTAAACCCCTAAAAGAGATGGGTGTGGTCCTGGTTTAATTTTAGCCATGAGATTACACTTTTAAACAAGAGATAAATCATTTAAAACAAAACATTTTGAGACATGCACCCTAAGAGGGAGTGACTTCAATTTCAACAGCTAAAAGATTTGGCGATTATCCCTACCCTTTGTTAAGAGGGAGTACTCTGTGCTGCTGTTTCAGTTAAACGAGTAACAAAGTATGGAGAATGACTAAACAATTGTGTAGAATGGGTATAGTATTCTAACTAATCTGAGGTAGTTAAGGTCAAGTGATATTTAATGACAAGAAAAAGGAAAAATAATAAATCGTGTTATTGACTGCTAAGAGGGTTCTCCTATTTGATTGCTGCACTAGAATCAAGTCTTGGTGTTTGTCCTCAGTTTGTTAGGTGACTGAAGAAAGACATATCAGACGCTAYGTAATAGACTACTCTCCTGGGCTGACTGGCATCTTGCCACAGGTAGCCCGACAAAAGCATAGGGGTCAAAAGTGAATGAAGAAACACATACATGCACCAACACATAGCCCATTTTAAGATTTTYYCCCCCCACCTTAGAACGGGCTAAAGAAGTGCCATTTCTCAATGATTGGGTAAAAGTTCGAGGCTTTCTTTCATGTTTCAATGATTTTATTGACGTTTTTGATGAACCTCCATGAATTTCCTTATAGCAGGACACCACAGAAACCAAGCTTGGGCTACCTGTGCTTTGACTAATCTCCTGGGCTGACTGGTGTCTTGCCACAGGTAGCCCAACAAAAGCATAAGGGTCAAAAGAAGTTGCTTGTAAAAACAATGCAGGACAAGCATTGTTCACCATTGAAGTACTTTTGTACATTGGAACTGCTCTATATTACAGAGTGATGTATTTAGGTCCTAGCAAAATCATCATACATTCTTTGTTTAAATTAATCAAATATACATTGTATAAATTATATTACATTTTATTGCAATAACATATTTCAAATTCTATTCTCTTAAATGTAATGGCTCTTGAATTATGTTGGTCTTATTTTTGCACAGTAGATTTGAAAACTGTTATATATAAAAAAGTCTGGCTTAAGCAACTTTTTGCCCTCTGCCATAAAATTAGATGCAAACTGTCTTCCAAATGGTTCATTGTAATGCTCTTTTTCGAATATCTGCCCAAAATTTTGTACATTGTTTTTGGTAATCCTATTGCCTCATCTTGCTTGTTTGGTGACTTGGAGTCTTTTTTTATGTCATACTGCAAATAAAATATTAACCATTAGACCAAGAAGGGGAATGATTGAGGAAAAATGGGGGTTTAGCTAGTATTGGGTTTCTGAGTATACTAGTTGTACAATGCTCTAGAGTAACATACATGTACCACAGATTATGAGGAGTCACTATTGTAAACTCTGCGTGTATGTACTCAAAGATCTTCAGGCAAGTCTGTATACAAGAGAATACAAGTGACAAATCAGATATTCCATGAGGTGTTAGGAAAGAGTACATTTAAACGTAAAACTACATCATAGTCATAGTAATAGGAACATTGTGTCCAATAGAGATCTTATTAACACACCTTTCTACTAAGGAAGCCCTCATGGTCGTGGCAATGGAAGAGGGATGCGCATCACCAATTTTAAATACACTTTCAATGACAGACAGTTCTGTACTTGTGGTATCAAGACCACAGAATGCACTCCAGTCATTAACAACCAGTCCTGCTCCAATTACGTCACTACCTCTGTTTACTGTTCCTGCCTGAATGATRTAATAAAAGAATACTGTACTATTAGTTATCAACTTCAAATTCGGACAAGATATATTCTAAGAACAATGACTAATTACTTACCACTGTAAGTTTTAACTGTTATGAGTTGATCAAGAAAAAATGTCATGACAGGATGATGGGTAAAAGATTACAATTCATAATATCCCACAGTTCCCATGTTCCTTTGTACCTTTACCTTTATCTAATGATTTATTTGATTGATGGTAGTCTATAGACTCCTTGAGGTACATTGGAATCCTGCTCATTTTGGATGACATAACTATAGGTTTCCAATTCTCAGTAGATTAAAATTATTTTGTTTTGTTCTTCAAATTGAGCTGCTTTAATGACACATGCAAGCAGTCTATTGTTGATTTAGATTGGGTGAAGCACTTTAACCCTGTCACCTCCTGTATCTACCCTTTTTCAAGCCATTATAAACTCAGGGCTAAAGGTCTAAAAATAATGGCTAATAATTATCATTAGTTGGACATTATGATGGACAAAAGGCCTGACAAGTGACAAGTGACCTGACAAGTGCAAATTCTGGCCAGAAATCAAAATGTTTAGTCCTGCAAACTTTAAGTGTACTACTTTGGTATAAAAGCTGTTTGACATGTTATCATGGAACACTACTTACAACAAGAGGTATTTGAAGAAGTGAAGATAATTCATCCTGATCTTCAACAGATGTTCTTGGGTGGACCTGTGAAACATAATACATTACAGGTAAAAAAAATGTCCATTGAAATTGGGAAAGGTAACAGGGGTGGATCTAGGGAAAGGGTGCAGGATGAGCACCACCCCATCTCCCCCCCCCCCCCCCCTAGATGAGCTGGTGTTTGAGTTTGTGAACAAAGGGTGCAGCCCCTCCTAAAATGGAAGTCCTGGATGATGCACCCCCTAGAAAAGAATTCTGGATCTGCCCCTGAGCTAACAGGGACTCATTTGTTGGTCCTCATATGTGTTGTCTGATCACTGTAGCTTAAAGCGACTTGAAGTATTACATCTTCCCCTAGGATGGAATATAATGCTATCGTATGTATGCACAAGCATYGAAATATAAATCAAAAGAGCCAGGAATTTAATGGAAGTAACTTAAACTCTTGACCTCAGGGCTCAAGTGTTACACAGAAATCACTAGTTACATTTTTAGCTACAAAGACAAAGCTAGAGTAGGAAATGGGTGTGAGGRGGTAGGGGTGGGGCATTTATGGCCCTAAAATTTCCTTACCAATCCTCCTTGATTACTAAGAGAACAGTAACTACCAACAAGGACATTGGAAGCCAGTGTTTGGCGAAAAACTTCGACTTTTAGAACATCAGCAAGGATTTCTTCTGTTTCCTGCAATATTTAAGCATTCAATACCTTAATTTTGTGCACAACATAATGACTGAACTAACAATCCATAAACTAGGAATACTATTTCAAATGCCTTTAACCTCTTATAAAGGCTAGAAGGAACAGGCTAGTGGAGGTATGGATGGGGTATCTTCACAAAAGAATTTTTATTCACAAAAGATGGTAACCTAGAAGTCTGCCTCCTCTCTCCTCCCCCTTTTGGCACTAATTGCCTTCTTGTCTAGTCTGGGTTCATGCAGACACGTTTTGTTTCTYATAATCTGATATCAACTAGTGGTAAAACTAGTTCACATTGAACAAGTGAATAAGAATGTAACAAGAGCATGTGATTTCTCTCTCTCTGGAGGTCACAAGCTCTAGTAGAGGAGTAACCAGAGATTCGGGCAATTAAAATACTCTAACTTTTCAGTACACATTATTTGAAATCATTTTTTGCTCTCATGCTATGGTCACATGAAGCTAGAACAAAAAGCATCTTGTTTGTCTAAATCAGAAAAGGCTTTTCTACATACTCTGTCTAAGTCAGGGTGCACCAAAGCCACATAGTCRTTACAAGCAATAACATTGCCAAGTGCTGAGAGTCTTTCTTCTACTCTCTGGATCTTTACAGTGTCGGGAAGAGAATTTCTTATGTGCTGTAATTCCTAAAAACAAAAGACCATTATTAAGATGATTACCAATGACAAGTTTTTGTTGTAAATTAAGTACTGGCACTACTCCTGTGTCGCCCCTCAGCTCTAACATGATTTTTTATAAGTTGAGAAGTGAATTGATAGTACAGCAGCTTACCTGGTCTGTTGTAGTATTAGGAAGCAGTAGACCATGACGATTACCTATGGAAACACAATGCAAGCTGGTTAATCAGAGTATTTTTACTTTGAAAAAATGTAGATTTTACAAGAAGAAAAAGCACATCAACACATGTAAACCACGTATACATTTACTGTATAGAATTATCAATCATCCTTGAACCAATCACAAGCTTTCCAGCCATACAGTTATGACACTATATATCACTATTTATTTGGAACAACCAGAGTCATAAGAGTAATGACTTTCAATAGAAAAGGTTTACGATATTATAGTGTAAAGATTTTCTGTAATATATTGTAATCTTAAAAAAGGGGAAAACAACGATTCGTAGAATCAAGGCGGGGAGGGGGGGGGGGGTTGGATCCACTGGACCCTTACTCTGGTTCTGGCCTTCTAATATTACTATGTATGTCTACATACCAATACTTAATCGGCCAACAATTCTGCATCCTGCTATAGATGAGTGAACCACTGGAATAATATCAGACAACTCTCTCTCAAAAACACTGAAAAGTAACAAAAAAAGGATTAGAATTTTATTTCACTTTTCAAAGCTAGCTAGAGGTGAGATGTGAGGACACCATGTCTACCTTATTCCCTTGGAAAGGGATAGAGCCGGAGATGAGATCTAGGCCTGGTTGTACCAGAGGTGGATAGCTCTATCTGACAGATAAATCCTTATCCAGTGGATAAGACAATACTGTTCCAATACTTTTTTCCATTGGATAAGATTTATCCATWAAAAAAAAAAAAGATTTATCCATCATATAGCTCTATTCACCCTTTTGTACAACTGGGTCCAGAGCTGGAGATGGAATATTAGCAAAAATGATAAATTGTGAAGATAATTCTATGTCATTGTTTTTGTACTGTAGATCTCTTTGAGAATGGATGTCAGCATCATCAAAGACTTGATTTAAGGTGCCTGCCTACTTTTGAACGTTCGATTTGAGCCCACGATGTGCGCRCGCTCAAAAACCGCTGAAAAATCTACAAGATTTTATTGAAGAACCATGCGCGTTTTGAGCTTCAACAGGGCAAAACCCTCAAATTTTGCACGGGACTCTATATTTTTTGATAGCTCATTCGAAAAAACTCCTAAAAATCAAGGTTATATCAACATTTTGGGAAAAGTTTAAATCAGGAACACGTGAAAAAATAGATTTTTGTAGGGATTTTTGTTCGACTTTATGAGATTTTTTAAGAGCACCGAAGCTACAAAATATGACAAATCAATGTATCTCTCTGTCTTTTTGTCGAAAATATCCATGTATTATTGTAGAAGGATTGACTAGCCTTCATTCGTGCAATCATATAATCTGCAAATAACTATTATCTTATTAATCTTAATTTTTTTTCTAATCACTTCCGGTGGCGCAATTTTTACTCCAAAAGCTCGTGCGTAGGCTCCCATTAAATGCTGATTATCTCGAAAACGAGCTCGGGACACCCTATTTTTCTTTCCAGATTTGGAATCAGCATTAAATTTCAATTTGGAAAATCGAAGTTTTAAGAAAAGCTTAAATCAATTTCCAAAAGTAGGCAGTCACCTTAAAAAAGGTTCATCTACATTATCGTCATCATTATCATCATGGACATCATGATTGTCACGATCGTAAATGACAATCAAAACTGAAATAAAAAACTTAAACTACCTCCAAAAAATACTGCAACAAGATTTGATAAATCAGGTCTAAGTAATAACTCAAAGCTAATAAAATGAATATATTATCAAATAATAATAATTCAGGAAACAAGTACAATAATGTACAACGTGTACGGACACGAAGAAACCATTTTGAAACAAAAATGTTTAGACGCCTAAAAGACTGAACATTCTGAAGTAAAGAATTTAATTCTAAGCTTAAAAAAATAATGAGAGTGAAAGCTGATACTGCGAAGTCGATTGAGTAGAACTTCGATTCGTTAATGAAGAAGAGTTAGAGCTTCAACAACTAAAACTTACCTGTAGAAGTTCTCTGAACCCCCAATAGCTACAAGACAGTATGTATTGGTGAGCTTAGAAAACACGCCAATCTCGTTACTGTTCTCGAACTGAGCTCTAACTGCCATTGTGAAGTCCTCTAGTGTAGTTCTGTGGTGTAATGGTTAGTAGTAGTTTCTCTGATCTCTCCTGTTCTAGTGTTTTTATGGAGGTGTTTTACAAGACTTTGTGCAATCAAACACCACATGTGAAGATTGCACCACACATGCACAGTCAGCCCCGATAAGACTACCACAGGAAGCCCAAATATAGTTTTTGAAAAACGCAACTCACTCGCTGTTTTTCTGACTTCCTGAAGTTCAACTTCAAATTTATCGACAACCTAAAACAGCCTTTGAACTGATCCAAGTCAGGGCAGGCTTACTCACAGATTGAATTTGAAAAAAAGCGCGATTACGCAGAGCAATTTTCTCTGCAACTTGTCTCGCAATGGCCGGCGTTGCGACACAAGTTGCATCGGAGCATTGCAGCCTGTAACCTACAGCTCAATTTGTAAAAAAAATGTTATGCTTTGTGGAATGGAGGAGCCTAAAACTCACAAATCAAGGGGAAAAGCTCATAGGCAATTAAACAGTAAACCCCATTAGTGAAAGGCGAGTGTAATAACTCTCAATTGAATAAGCTTCTGCGTAAAATGTTAAGAAAAAATAAGAAAAAAGCTTGAAAATTAGTCAAATTTGTTTCATAAAGAGTCTTAAGAAAATATCCAGCCGATGCTTCATTGAACGTTTCCTTTTAACGTACTTTCGCTGAATTTTCTTATAACTTCCTTGATTTCGAGCGTTTTGTGTTCATCTCAAAAGCGGCTTGATCAGTTTCTGAATCTCCCGGGAGGGGGGGGGGGGGGGGGGGGCCACCCCAACTTGCCGCCGGGATCTCAAAACCCTGACCCTATCCCAGGCCTAAAATTTTGATTTTACATACCCTACCCCAGACTAAACTAAGAATTGTACAC